CAAACTTCTTCCTTAATATCCCACGATAATCTGCTTTTCTGTGACTCACTTAGTAGGCCTATTTCTGACCTCTAAGGTTCTTCAAACACTTAAAGATAATGATCAGGTTTACCTTCAAGACATTTGTTGTTATCATCTTATACAAAATTTTATAAAAAAATATCTCAACACTTTTGGAAGCAACAGCTATTCTGCTTTACTTCTCTTTGCTTCGGGGTTGTTTTTACCTCTGTAATGGACAAAGGACTGCTGATACAGCCAGAAAACATGAGATGTATGCTCTTTTCCACTTAGAGATTTTAAAGCAAGTTTTTGCCTCATCAGTAGGATAGATTTTTGAAAGGAAGAGGGAGCTGGGAAAGACCATTTAGTATATTAGTACTATATATTACAATGTATTAACACACTTTGAAGGAAAGTGAAAGTGGTTACAACCACATATAATGTGATCAAACTTGGTTTGAATCTTGTCTTGGCCACCGGCTATCCCCATGTTGGCTCTATGACTTGAAGTATACTACTTAAGTCCTCTGCACCTCAGTCTCCTCCCATGGAAATTCAAGGAAATAACTATAACCAAATAAAAGGACTGTTGTGAGGGATCAATGTGTTAATATTAAGTATTTAGAATAGTTTTGGCACAAAGTAAGTGCTCTATGTGTTAGTCATCATAATTTTTGCTATTGCTGTGCACCTACTTTAAATTGGATTATTATGGTAGTACATGCAAGAAAAATAAAAAGACATTTTAATTAAACTTGATTCAGATTTTTCCAGGTCTCAAAAACAACCTTATTTTTTACATGGTACTTTAGCAACCTTACAATGGTAAACTATTCAGGTATTCGAAATCACTTTCAGAAAAATAGGTAATGACATGAAAGATGTCTGCAACATATTAACTGGAAGGTTAAAAAAGCCATTTGCCAAAAAGCATGAACTATAATGATTCCAACTTTATTTCTTAAAAATGCAGAAATATGTTCATGGAGGACAGGGATGAGACAAAAAACAGATCTCACTAGAAACTCCTACAGAAAATGTCAACAGTGCTAGTGCTATTACAACTTATTTTTGTTTGTTTTGGTTTGTTTTCTATATGATCCAATTTTTTAATAACCACATATTAAATTTTTTATCAGACAACGATCCATTGTTTTAAAATGTGTCTTACATAGGTTGTTCAAACCTGTCTTTCTCTACTTTCTTTAAAAGCTTGTAAGTAATACAAATTCCCTATGTTCAGGAAGAAAATGAAATAAAAATTCAAGATACTAAAGAAAGTGATGAATTCATCAGAGTACAAAGCCAACAAGGAATTATGTGTCATTATGTCTATCCTAAAATTCTATTTTTTGTTTTGATTGCTATCTCAGCTATCCCACATATTCTTCTCCGCTATCAAAATTTTATAGTAAGTTGAATTTATAAACATTGAGAGATCACATAATCCTCTATGTGATTTCTACTTCACAAATAAGACAAAAATGCAAGATTTTTTTTTTTAAAAGATTTTATTTATTTATTTGACAGAGAAAGATCACAAGTAGACAGAGAGGCAGGCAGAGAGAGAGAGGGAAGCAGGCTCCCTGCTGAGCAGAGAGCCCGATGCGGGACTCGATCCCAGGACCCTGAGATCATGACCTGAGCCGAAGGCAGAGGCTCAATCCACTGAGCCACCCAGGCGCCCCAAAAATGCAAGATTTTGTGTTATTAAATAGGAGAAAGTGTTTGTCACAAGGGAGCAATGAAAAGTTTATGGTATTTTTTTTTCTCAAAATTCCTCTGCTCTAAAAATTACACATGAAAATAAGGCTAGTATTTTCTGTACTATGTTTCGTGAGCACTTACATTTAGGAACACTTGCTAGCTTCCTACCTTTTTTCCTTCCTCTTTTTTTTTTTTAAATATTTTATTTATTTATTTGACAGAGATCACAAGTAGGCAGAGAGGCAGGCCGAGAGAGAGGAGGGGGAAGCAGGCTTCCCGCTGAGAAGAGAGCCCGATGCGGGGCTCAATCTCAGGACCCTGGGATCATGACCTGGGCCGAAGGCAGAAGCTTTAACCCACTGAGTCACCCAGGCACCCCTCTTTTCTCTTATTTAGTGGTAAAATTCTAGAGTCAATTATACAAGAAATGTTCTCAGCAATATTCACTGTTTTTAAGGACTGACACAGAGTACGTACTTCAAGACATCTGAAATTATAACCAAAACCACCCCATCTCAGTTGGGAAATAAGTAAAAGCAAGGCTTAGAAGTATTCTTTACATATTCAACATTCTCACTGAAGCTTTCCGGAATTCTGAATAGAGTGCCATCGTGAATTTTCACACATTGGGTTAAAGAATATCTTGTTTTGGCTATATAAAATGTATCTCATTTAAAAATTTTGATATACCAAAAATTATGCCACTTTATTATTTTTTCATCTCTTAACATCTGTACATATTTAGCAATGCTAATTTAGTCTGAAATGAAATTACTGCAATTAAGACAGACAGTTAAAAAAAATCTTTTAAAAAGTTTATTTCCACAGAATCTGGGGAAAGACCATAATAAAACTCCTTATTAATATGACATTTTTGCTATGTAATAAACATAACCATCCAGAATATGCCAAAAATTACACAGGCAAAATAAACTTGTAAAGCTCTGTCAAAATTTACGACATATTACACATGCCAAATCATACGAATTTCACATATGTAGGATATGTGACCTATAATTCAGTACATATAAAACCTACATACAATCCATAAAACTCAATCATAATAATCCTTTACCTTCTTTACCAAATCTATCCCTCCTCTTCACCCCCACAATCAACAATTCCCAAATATCATTCTTAACACTAAGAAATTCTAGGAAACTTAAGAATAGCTTTTCAATAAGTCAAAAAATTATCCCAAACCAACTGCCCTTGATCTGTTTTTCAACATAAAGAACAAGAAGTTAGCAAAACAAAACAAACTCTGAAACAAAAAGGTAAATACGTTTAAATAAAGCCTTATGAATTTATCAGTAGAGTAAGATGATTTATGAAAGGTTGCTTAGGATGGTTCTGAAAAAAATTTCTCTCAGATTATACCACCTACACGTTAGCATTGGGAACTACTTTAGTTATTTAAAAATTACCCTTTATTCACTCCAAATCTATAACTTCTTTCAAAGCCAATGGAACATGTTTAGGAAAACATGAATTAAAGAAAAACTACAATGATGACAAGGACCTAGCAAAACAAAAGTATAAAATAAATAAATTTCGGGCTTCACTCCTTCAAGTATATGCTACACAAAATGACTAGTCCCAACTAGTCAGAAAACTTCATATTAAGAGGACAGATGACTTAAGGTTCAAGAAGTAAAGGTTTTTCCCAGGGTCCTTCTAAAGAAGATGCTTGATCCTCTTCCAGTAGAGGGAGCAAAATCATAATATTCTATTCAGGCCACAAAAGAGGAGGGAAGGTTTAAGAGTGAGTGCCTTTTAACGATCTTAAAATCTATCCAGACATTTCAAAAAATGTACTGAAAATACCATTGGAAGCAGAAATAAAACAAAACTAAAGGAAAAGATAAAGAGTTTATCTTCTTCAAACATTTCAAGGCTTTGAGATGAATAAATGGTCCCTAAACGTTTAATTTCAAGTACTGTGATATATTACACTGTCCACCAGATCTCACAGGTAACCAAAGTATTGAAGCATTTTAGGAATCCTTAATTCAACAAGATTTCAGGTAAGTGATAAAATATTACATTAAATATATTTTTATTATAGAAACAACAGAGTAACATGGCTGTAACTATAGAAACAAAGGAAAGTATAATTGTACTACCCTAAAACAATCTATCTCCTTTCAATATTTTTTTCCATGTGTATTTTCATACTGCTATGAAAAAAATTATAAAAACATTAAGTGCTTACTATATGCTAGGCACAGTTCTCAGTATTTTCACATATTACAACCCTTTTAATTTTTATCAAAGACCTATTAAGTAGATCCTGTTAGTACTCTGCTCTTAGAAGATAAGGCAAATGAGACAGAATGAAATTCTCTTAACTAGCTAAAAGTCACACAGCAGTAAGTAACAGTAGCCAAGGTTCTAATCCAGGTAGTTTGGTACCTGAGCTTATCCTCTTAACCGCTTTACTTTGATCTTAATTTTGAATTATGGTTTTCCCCCATCACTAACATATTGTCAGTGTTAGTCTTCAAACTTCTTAATGCCTGTAATAGTCCATCTAATACTCTATGATAATAAACTATGATGCTTCCACTTGTCCTGTAGAGATAGTGTAACAAAAATATTCTTGGGTATATTACTTTTCCTGTGTTTGGGTTATTGTGATAAAGTATTTTTATAATCAAATTTACTATCAAACTCTTTCCCAAAATATCTGTGTCAATTAACAAAGCTATATAAGTTCCAATGTCACCATAAATGTGTCAGCATTAACCAAAAATTTTTTTCTAATACATAAAAATAAAACCAGGCTGCAAATTGAATTATTAAAGTTGCATATTATTCTGAGTGTTCTGTTTACTAATTCAACTTACCCTTTTGTGAATTCCAGCTCTTCTGCTTTATTTAGTTATCAAGTGAAGTTCTAAAAGTTTGCTTATCAATTTATATGAACTTTTTATAGGAATATTAACACTATGTTCATTACATTTGTGACAAAATGTTCCCAGTCTATTGTACCTTTTAATTATGGTTTTCATTTTTGGTAATAAATCATTCTGTTAAAGGCAATTATAATCCAAAGTTACAAAAAAGGTCCTAAAACCTTATCATTTTCTAAATATAGAAGTTAATGTATTGCTTTGAACACATCAAAATCACTTTCAAATATAAGACTGTTAAAGCGATAGAAACTATGTCAAAATATGCCTAAGTTTGAGAAATCCTGGATATGTCTCACATAAAATTAACTCAAAAAAAGAGAAAAAAAAAAAGCCCATCCTATCCCAACTCACCAAAATAAAGGAGCCACATACCTGTCGCTGTAAATATAGGCGATTTCTGTCATGTAAATGTTGATGATTGGAAAGCGAAGAGTGCCAACTCCGAGCCTGGCCATGCAGCTGTGTTTGAGTCATATCCGAAGGCCGAGTTACAAGATGTGAAGTAAACTGCCGTTCAAGGTCATGATCTAAAACATGACTTGAATGATCTTGTCCAAATGCGGCCTCGTCAAACTGGGGAAGGAGACCCTCGTGGAGGAGGTCTTCTGGGTCAAGTCCTGTAAACGGCTCAGTCTGAGACTCCACTTGATGAAGTAAATTCTCTTCTAAAGATGAAAAGCCATTAGTTTCTACGTGATCATTGAAATGGCCCATTTGAGTTCCTGAGTCAACAGGATCTGGGAAGTTCATGTGCACAGGAGATAATTTTGAATTGCTATAATTACCCTGAGGATGTGATGAATGCAACATTTGGAAATTATTTGAATTCAACGATGTATTGGGATTTAGCATATGCTGAGTGGATTCTTGCTTGATTCCCCTATGAGGTGAAAAGGAGTTACTTCCGGTAAAATCGGATAAAGTCTGATTTGTGTGATTAGGTGCAAGCACTGCAGAGGCCTGCAGAAGACTGTTTGGTGAGACATGATTACTGGAAAAGGAATAATGTGAAGAAAACTGCTGTGAGTTACTGACAGAACAAGAAGTCATATTTGGAGAAGGTCCATTGAAATTCCCTTCTTGAGGATTGCTACACTTGAGGAAGTGAACTGAAGGATTTGACGTTTGGGAAAATTGCTGCATTGAAAGAGACTGTTGCGACGTAGATGCATTAGGGATCTGTGAAGGGTGGTTAACACTGACTCTGTGCGGACCAGAAACATTAACATCCATAAAATTTTTAGACTGGCTGAGAGAATTCTGCCCTGGGTTAAGGTTATTTCTGTTTTGTTGTGAGCGTAGTGAAGTGCACTGTGTTTGTTGTTCACTGGCCTGAAATAAGGCAAAGTCATGGTGTACCACAAAGCTTTTATTTTGATGCATAGAGTGAGAATGTCCTTGTTGGTGAAAAGGAGACCCATTTTGATTGGAAATGCTGGTAGCTGTCTGATGGCCCCACATTGGACTGCCATCTGCTACATCTGGAAACAAACCATTGGGCTGGTTTTGGGGGTGGATCGGAGAACAATTAAACTGAGAGTGTGGAGATAACACATGTTCAGCTGGGCTACCAAAAGGCTGATTGACTTGGTGAAATTTCATTGAGTCAAACTGATTTAACTGCTCATAATCAGTTATCTTCTGATGTGTTGGAGTACCTTGAACATGGTTCAGTGAGTCTATGTGCAAAGGCTCAAATTCTGCGCCTAAGTTCAATTCATCAACTAGTGAAACAGGTCCTGGTTGAACAAATGCATCATCTGACAAACCTTCTAAGGTCTCACCAAAAAGATTGGCATCATCAAAAAAGTCCATCATTGGATCTGTCATCTTGAAAAATCCAGTGACAATCCGGGCTATTCACTCCAAATGAAGTATATTCAGCTTCCGTGTAGTGGATATTATTGGATCATTGCCAAAGGTCATCAACTAATCCGAAACAGGTCAATGTTCATTATTGCTCTAGATAATGACATGTCATGAAGTGTCAGAATCCTAGGAAAATAAGAAAAACAATTCAAGTTTAATGATGAGAATTCATTAAAGTTCTACAAAGTTTATATATGGTGTAAAAAACATACAATCTTGGTGTACAGTATTTTTTGGTAGAATGATTAAAAATTGCAAAAAGCTCATTGATATTCCATACAAGGAAAAAAATGCTGGTGCATGGGACATGACTGTATGCATTTGAAAGTAATAATGCATAGTACTTCAATTTCAAGTTCATATATATATGTTTACACACATACATACATATATACACATATTTTTTAAAGTAGGCTCCATAGTTAGCATGGAGCCCAACGTGGGGCTGGAACTCAACTGTGAGATCAAGACCTAAGCTGAGATCAAGAGTCGGATGCTCAACTGACTGAGCTACCCAGGTGCTGCTGAAGTTCATATATTTTGATGAAAGAATGTAAACCTAAGAATGGTATGTCAGACTCTCTCCTCCACCACAAAATGACCATCACTCCCCAGCAGCTATGACATGTTTAAAATATATACGTATTACACTTCAAAGTAACAGCTTGTTAAGATAGCTGATACCAGATTTTCTCAGATTAGTGTGTTGTGATATTTTGCTCTAGACCTCTTGAACAGATGAATCTTCTTGTTTCATACAGTATATGCAGAAATACATGAAGAACAACAATTGTATGCGGTGCCTGGGTGGCTCAGTTGGTTGGGCAACTGACTCTTGGTTTCAGCTCAGGTCAATCTCGCAGTCGTTGGATTGAGCCCAGTGTTGGACTCTGTGCTCAGTGTGCAGTCTGCTTCAGATTCTCTCTCTCCCGCTCTTAAATAAATAAATAAATAAATAAGAACAACATTTGCATGAGATCATATTAAACTGGGCCAAATGAGACGAGTTAAGCATCTGGTCAGTTGACAGACAATGCAGACAGGGGATGGCTGGGATGTTCCCACATACTGCTACCATGGTTCATGGCTCATCTACATGGAAGATCAGCCTTCCTAACAGCCAACTGATTTAGATACTCATGTAGCAAAAGCAAGAATCTTTCAGTTAATGGTTATATTCATTACTCTGTCCCTAAATCTCTCTCCTGCCCTCATTAAGTCATTTGGAATACTGGAATATTGCTTATTTACTAAACTGTGTAAATAAATGTGTGGTGACAATTAAGCTGAGGCAAAAATAAACAGTAGCTTGAGCTAAGCAATGAATTAGTCTTATGATAGTCTGAAGAGCAAAAATGACTACATTTACATGAATATATGTACATATACACACACATACATGCTATTTATGTGTGGAAAGGATCTAATAGGTTACTCATTAATATGAAATGGCTAGCTAATTTTGTTCCAGATCTGTAGCTCTCCAAACATTTTTAACAAAGGTAATTTATGGCTGTGCTCTACTTGCCAAGAGAACCACAAATGAAGGTTCCTGCTGCTCTACATATTAGTTTAATTAAATATTAGCAAAGTCCTAAGAAATTTTTCCAGAACTTCTATTTTGGGAGGTCCATATTAGAAAACAGAAATTTCTTAAAGAAAATGCTCACTATTTTAATGTAGAAATACTTTTGAGGGGCGCATGGGTGGCTTGGTGGGTTAAGCCTCTGCCTTCGGCTCAGGTCATGATCTCAGGGTCCTGGGATCGAGCCCCGCATGGGGCTCTCTGCTCAGCAGGGAGCCTGCTTCCCCCCTCTCTCTCTGCCTGCCTCTCTGCCTACTTGTGATCTCTCTCTCTCTCTCTCAAATAAGTATTAAAAAAAAAAAAAAGGAAATACTTTTGAAAAATTCTATGTTAAATTTTTTAAAAAGACTTTATTTGTCAGAGACAGAGCGCAAAAGCAGGCAGAGTGGCAGGCAGGGACAGAGAGAGAAGCAGGCTTCCCACTGAGCAAGGAATCCGAGTGGGACTCGATCCCAGGACCCTGGGATCATGACCTGAGCTGAAGGTAGCGGCTTAACCAACTGAGCCACCCAGGGGTCCCAATTCTACGTTAATTTTAATTGGAAACTGCCTTATTATTAATCACAATGGTATGTACCTAAGTCCTTTAACAAATATATGATTTTGGAAGAAGAAAAATATGGAAAGAGTTATTTTTCCAGATTTTATAATTGTGAGACAGGGCAGATGAAAGGCTATGTGGTCTGAATTGAACAAGGCCATTGGCAAAATAGAGGGTAGGTTAAATCACTTCTCTGGAATGTATCTTATTAGTTTCTGCTTCAGACTCCAGACTGTGGAACATCTATGTACACTTAAGTTATTAATCAGGAAAGCAATGTCTTACGATTTTATACGGTTGTATGATTATTTATCAAGAGGAACACAAAAAAAGAAATACAATGAAAGTTACCAAATCCAGTATGTCATCAAGTATGAGGTACATCATTAGTTGATATAATGTTAAAAAAAAAAAAAAAAAGAAAGAAAGAAAAGAAAATGCTGCCAGTTACGCTACGGCACTATACCATTTCAAAGGATTTTAGACTTAGTCTTATTCAAAAGAATCTGATAATTTCTTCTGCCTTAAGATAGTCTGCTTGGTCCATAAAATACTTGATTACTGCTCTGTAAGTAAATGTGAATTGCTGTCATTTCTTCGACAACAAATATTTGCTTCACTAATATTAAATTTATGCTCTGCTACTCTGTTTCTGTGCCTCTCTACATAATCAATAACATTTTGGTTAAATACGGGAAAATAGTATATTTTTTAAGGACATTTTAGGGGCACCAGGATGGCTCAGTTGGTTCGGTGCCCTACTCTTGATCTCGACTCAGGTTGATCTCATGGTTTTGAGTTCAAACCTTCTGTTGGGCTCTGCACTGGGCGTGGAGCCTACTTGCCAAAAAAAAAAAAAAAAAAAAAAAAGACATTTTATTTTTATTTTTTATTTATTTATTTTTAACGATTTTATTTTTTTATTTGACAGACAGAGATCACAAGCAGGCAAAGAGGCAGGCGGAGAGAGGAAGGGAAGCAGGCTCCCTGCTGAGCAGAGAGCCCGATGCAGGGCTCGATCCCAGGACCTTGGGATCATGACCTGAGCCAAAGGCAGAGGCTTCAACCAACTGAGCCACCCAGGTGCCCCAAAAAAAGGACATTTTAAATAACGCATGTGTAGTACTAATGTACATAGCCCAACTGGTGATGGCAATATAAACAACTATGACTAAGTGTGTGTACATACAGGTAAGTACTCCATGACCCCCACCTGGCACATGGGTACTGAGACATATCCCAATTTCAGAGATTTTTTTTTTAAGATTTATTTATTTATTTGAGAGGGAAAGAGAGTGAGTGGAAGGAGAGGTGAGAGAGAGGGAGAGAATCTCAAGCAGACTCCACACAGAGAGCAGAACCCAACACAGGGCTCAATCTCATAACCCTGAGATCACAACCTGAGCTGAAACCAAGAGTCAGATGCTTACCTGACTAAGCCACCCAAGCACCACCCCAAGATTTTAGAGATGTTAAAACTGGAAAATATAAGCAACTTAGAATGATTAAAGTAATTTTTTGAATAATTAGAATGTATTACTTCAAGAGTTCAGAACCCACAACTATAAAAATCTACAGCCCAACTGAATGCTGAAAATAAATTATTGGAAGGATATCACATTATTGTATATATTTCTACCTTCTGCTATTAATAGTAAACTTAAACAAAAATATAAAACATTCTGAATTTATACAGATTTACTATATGCTTATACATTTATTTATTTTTTTAAAAGATTTTATTTATTTGACAGGGAGAGAGAGACACAGTGAGAGAGGGAACACAAACAGGGGGAGTGGCAGAGCCAGAAGCAGCCTTCCCACAGAGCAGGGAGCCCGATGTGGGGCTCGACCCCAGGACCCTGAGATCACGATCCGAGCCAAAGGCAGATGCTTAACGACTGAGCCACCCAGGCGCCCCTTATACATTAATTCTCAAAACTCATTCAATAATTCTTAGGAGTCTGCTTTGGAAATAAATATATGATATATCAGAGCAGTAATAGTCCATATAGGAAAGAACTGGTATAGTCCTTGAATTTTTGTACATGACGGTAGAGTGTGCTGAAGCAGAATGTTTTCTACATTTATGGAACCTGAGGCTTACCTAAAATATGGGAGAAGTAAAAATTTTAATTAAGAAAATAATTTTGTGGGGCACCTGGGTGGCTCAGTGGGTTAAGCCTCTGCCTTCAGCCCAGGTCATGATCTCAGGGTCCTGGGATCGAGCCCCACATCGGGATCTCTGCTCAGCAGGAAGCCTGCTTCTGCCTCTCTCTCTCTGACTGCTTGGGATCTCTCTCTCTCTCTCTCTCTCTCTGTCAAATAAATAAATAAAATCTTTAAAAAAAAAAAAAAAGAAAAGAATTTTGCTATTTTATCATCTAATAAACATTAATTGATAAAGAACTTCAGACACTTGAAAGATGAGTAATAATTGATCTCTGAAGGGGAATTTTGACATGTGAATAGAAGATTATCAATACATGTTACTTGAGCTTTGCTAAAAGTCAGTACATAAGAGGAACATCTAATGATTAAGAAAATGAATATAGATACCAACACTATATTATGAAGATACACATTCCATATGTGAAAAGATATTTGTAAATAGTTGACTTTAGTTATAAAAATAGAGATTGGGTGCCTGGGTGGCTCACTTGGTTAAGCGTCTGCCCTGGGCTCAGGTCATGGTGCCGGGATCTTGGGATGGAGTCCCATATTGGGCTGTCTACCCAGCGGAGAGTCTGCTTCTTCCTCTCACTCTGTGTTCTCTCTCCCTCTCTCTCAAATAAATAAATAAAATCTTAAAAAAAAAAAAAAAAAGTAAAAATAGAGACTAAAGGCAAGTTACAAAAAAAAGTTTATAAAATCTCATAAACCATGTTTTCTGATTTGAACAGTTTATTCTACAAATGACACAATGCTCATGTAAGTTCCACTTGAAGATCTATTGTTGTAATTCATTCTGTAAAGGTAGCATTTTCTAACTTGATGAAA